ACCACTCATAGCTGGATAAACCCTTCTATATCAATTAACAACCAAGAAAGTGCCCCCTGCAAAGACATGTCCATAGGTCAGTCTAATAGAGTCAATCCTAACTGGCATTCACCCTTCCCAAATGTGTCAAATTGAAAGCTAAGACTATCCATTACAGGCATTTACAGTCTAGCAGGGGATCCCAAACATGTATTCCAGGGGGGAAAAATGACAGAAAGTTAATGGAATTTAAATCCTGACCGTTTTAGTAACATACTTAAGGCTCAAATATTTATAACTTGACAATAATTCCATTGTAATCTTTGCCGTAACTTTAAAGTACAATGAACTTGAACTTTACATTAAAGACTGGATTAATAATGAACAAAATAAATATTTCAGCACACTGACTACCTCTCTAGCACGTATAACATCGCTCTCATCTTGGCTGAAAAACTTTTAATAAAGGGACCTACCTTATGAATGACTTGAAGCTGTGCCACTGAATCTAAAATGCTGTGACATCATTTCCACAGCTGGAGTGCCAAAGGCAAGCTAGTGCTCCCTTGATCTTTTGTCCTTAGAGAATGCACAATAGCTACTGCCAGGGCATCCGAGATGGCTCTTAGGGGACACTGCAGCAGTCTGCTGGCTGACATCGGTGCCTTCGTAGTTCTCCTGGGGACAACACAGAGGCCTCACAGAAGCTAGAGCTATGGGACTACTGGCTCAGGGCAAAACTCTCTCTTGCCTTACATCTCAGTGAAAGAAAAGTCAAAAGTGGCACTGCCACAGTCTCAGTTCTTTGTCACTGACTACCAAGTCCAGTCAGACTGCTATAGACTTATGAGCAAGAGGAACACATTTCTCACAGTTCTGGAAACCAGCAATGACCCCCATAGACCATATATTTGAATGCTCAGTCATCTGGGAGTGGAACTATTTGAGAAGGGTCAGGGAGTGTGGCCGTGTAAGAGGAAGTGTGTCACTGGGGGTGGGCTTTGAGGCTTTAAAAGCCCATGCTAGCTGCAGTTCACTCTCTCATCCTGCTGCCTGTGGGTCAGGATTTAGCTCTCAGCTACTACTCCAGTGCCATGCATGCTACCATGTTCCCCACAATGATGATAATGGACTAAACTTCTGCTGTGATTACCACTGATTAATAAAGAAGTGCTTTGAGCCTAAGGCAGGGCAGAACAGAGGTAGGCAGGGAAAACTAAACTGAATGCTGGGAGGAAGATGGCAGGGTGAGAGAAGCCATGGAGCTGCCACCGGAGACACTGGTACATTGACGGTAGGCCATGAGCCTTATAGTAAAATACAAAATAATGGAAAAGGGTTAAATTAAGATGTAAAGCTAACCAATAAGAAGTTAGAGCTAATAAGCCAAGCTGTGATTTAATTAATACAGTTTCTGTGTGGTTATTTTAGCAGTCTGGGCAGGTGGGAAATGAACAAATGGCCTCCTACTACAAATTGGTGCTCCAATATGGTTGACTATATCCATATAAAATCTGAGAAAGCTTGAAAAGGAACTAGACACACAAAAAAATAAAGTTTAGTCACCCTTGTTTTTCAGCTGGTGGCATGCTACATGCTACAGCTCCTTTAAGAGAGGTCACCCTGATTCAGCGGTAGTAGCAAAAAAAAAAAAAAAAACATGGATTTCAAATGGCGGCTTCCTGGGCTGTGCTACCAGTGTGCTGCCTCCTGGCTTTCAAGAGGCCGAACACTTGAATGGCATTTATGGGCCCAGGTGCTTGTGTGCCCACTTGGGGTCAGGAGCAAAGTAGCTGAGACCATGCCATGGCTCAGTGCTCCCCACCTAGGCAGGCAGTGGAATCAGGTCTACTAGGTGTGCACAGGCAGAAGAGCATGGTGGATTCCTGCCACCATACACAAAGATATTTTCAGACTGTGCATTGCACTGCATGGCAGATTTACCTATTGCTCAGATAAAAAAGGGTTAATGTGCTGCACATTCCTTTTCAGAGTAAAAGTGGTGAGCATGGCTCCTACCTAGCAGTCCTAGAGCTGGTGGTAATGGTACTTCCTCCATTTTGAAAAGCAGAGAGAGACGGAGCCAGCACCCAGGGCCCTACAACCAAGCTGCTTACCATTTTAAAATCTCTCTAGGACAGAAAAGGATTACAGATACACAATAGAACAGATTCAGACATAAAAAGCCTTTAAAGGAGACACAATGTAGGCTTGGGAGAAAAAGAAAAAGAGTATAAGGAGTTATAAAAAGAAATAAATGACTACAAAAGATGACTCTTCATCTCCTTATATCTTTCTGAGATTTTAATGCAAGGATTTTTACAGGAATACCCATAATTTCATAGTGTTTCTGTAAAAATGTCTTAGACTAATATCCTTGTTTGAAATTCATTCTTTTTTTGCATCATAATTTTTCTTTCTTTTTTTTGAAAGTAATTTTATTAAATTATAAAAGTTTGCATTTACGCCCCTCTTCCCAACACCCTCCCACTCCCCCCACTCCCTCTCCTCCTCCCTCTTCGTCCAAAGATATAAGTGAAATAAAAAATAAATAAATAAATAAATAAATAAAATTCTATTTAACATATACAATGCGTTATACATATGTAGATTGTGCACGTTTGCCACAATTTAACATCTGTTTATTTAGCTCCTACTTGCATTTCCTCTGTGACTACATGTATAACTTAAAACTGCTTTATAGATATTCTGTTTTGTGTTTATTCAAATTCCAATAAAGACCTTTAAAGCTTTAAAAAAAAGAAAGAAATGATTTATTAAAAAATTAAAACACAGCCCTTAAATAGACAGAGTACAAACAAACATAGACTAAAGGAGTAAAGATAATAAAATAAATTTTAAACTTATAGAAAAAGTAATAAAATAAAAACAAATAAGCTACATAAAGATGTAATATACACAGAGAGTCTGGATTATGTATATTATTGTGTTTTCTTTGAATTTTTTGACTGTGAAAGAGCTAAGTATAGAGAGAGATTTCATTGTATGGACTGCTAAGTTATCTTGATTAAAGGTATCTTGATTTCAGAACTTGGGTCTAAGCATATATTGCTTTGGAAAAGAGGTTCTTCTTTTGTTTCCACAGAGGATGAGAACCTGTGGATTCATTCCAGACTAATGTGATTTGATGGACCAAGACCTCCCGAAAGGTCACCATTAACACCCCCCAAAAAATACTTTGCCCAACAAAAAGCAGGGAGCAGTTTGGAGAGAACTATGCCCAAATTCCCTAAATGATCATTTATAAATGTTTGTTTACATTTAAAGAGGAATATGCTATAGAGATTTGCATTGGTATGGATCTTGGTTTATTGATGCAAATTTTAGATCATTATTATACATGTATATATTGCTCTTGATTAAGGTATTGTATTTGTGCAGTTCATTTAAAAATGTAATGTATAATTAAGAGATATAGGTTAATAGGTAATCATCTATAATAGTCAAGCTTGTAGTAATGTTAGTTAGATTTTCTAGATGTACAGAGATGTATTTCAGATGGATAGTCATTCTTCAAACCTTTCAAAGACTACAGAATATGACATTTTAAATGTTTAAGAACTTAGGACTTTGCATGACAATGAGACACATCTGCTCCTGGCAGCACCAATTACTTCAAGAGGAAGATGGGCATTGAAGAGGTTCCTTATGGAGTTTATTAGCCATTTGGGCAAGAAACTGCTCTTGCCTGAACTGCTCAATGTTATACTGTGTGAAGTAGACATGCAGGACCCACAAAGAAATGACTGCTGAATTTGCCTAAAGGGGAGACCATCCTTCAGGGTTCCTGCTTCATGAAAGAGTCTGCTAGACATTCCACAGGACACAGAAAAATGTGACTGACAAACTGCCAATATAGGCGGAACTGTCTTTGAAATTTCCTGCTTCATGGAAAAGTCTGCCAGATACTATGGACCTGTAGGTTAAAGATGGGATGGATGTCCCAACAATACAAAAGAATTTGGGTGACTGTCCAGGCAGCGAGATGTCTCTGTCAATTCTAGAGCTTTGGAAGTTGATTACAATGCACTTCCTGTTTACTTAGGTAATATTATATCCTTCTGGAATCTTTGATGGAGTTGAAGAATAGATAGTTATAGTTTTCCTTAGTTGTGATAAAAGATAAAGTAGATATAAATGTTGTAACTATAATTCTTGCTTGATAACTGTTTCATTATATGGTAATTTTACTATGTTAAAGTTAAAACCTTCCTTTTTATTTAAACAGAAAAGGGGAGGTGATGTGGGATTCCCCTCTGTATGCTGTGATTATCATTGATTAATAAAGAACTGCTTTGAGCCTATGGCAGGGCAGAACAGAGACAGATGGGGAAAACTAAACTGAATGCTGGGAGGAAGATGGCAAGGTGAGAGAAGCCATGGAGCTGCCACTGGAGACACTGGAACCTTGTCAGTAGACCATGAGCCTCATGGTAAAATACAAAATAATAGAAAAGAGTTAAATTAAGATGTAAAAGCTAATCAATAAGAAGTTAGAGCTAATAAGCCAAGCAGTGATTTAATTAATACAGTTTGTGTATTTGGGAGTCTAGGTGGCTGGGAAACAAATAAGTGGCCTTTTACTATACCTATAGATCATATGTTTGAATGCTCAGTCATCTGAGAGTGGGACTATTTGAGAAGGATTAGGAGGTGTGGCCTTGTATGAGGAAGTGTGTCATTCCTATCACTTACCTTTTAGATGTACATTGCTCCTCGATAGAGAAAATCAATATAAATTGCTAGATACTGTACTTTGGCTTGATGTCTTCCTAAGGTTAATATTGTGTCAAAATGTAAGAAGCTTGGAGAGTTTCATTCTTCCAGGTTCTGTCATCTATAATTGCTTGTGGGATAGTCACACATGGACTATCTTCCAAAGAATGATAAGATCCATTTTTAGCAACTAATATCAGGTTTGGTTTTGCTCATTAAAGGATTTGTTTTGTGTTTTGTTGTTGTTGTTCTTTCATGAAGCAGATGTTGTGCTAAGTGCCAGGATATAAATTAAAAAAAAAACATAATGAGCACTAATTTTTAAAAATTGCAGCATGAAGCGTACATTACTAACCAGCACAGTGTGATGTTCAGCGCGGCAAAGAAGCCAGAGGCCAGGTCAGGGCAAGGCAGGGAACCCTATAGAATATAACACTGCCTGAAGAATGAAGATAGGGAATGCTTGCTTCCTGGAAGGGATGATGCAACCAACTCTAGAGGAATAGGGAAGTCAACCAACCCTTTACTCTCTTCACAGTCCACGGGTAAGCACAGGGGCAGGGAGAGGAAACCAAAGGTTTCAGGTATGAGGGACATTTGAGTGTCTTGAGACGCTGGAAGGCTGTGGGCTCAAATCATTAGAGGTTTTATATATATATGGCTTTGATGAAATGCCTCTGTAGGCAAACAGATCTGATGTTGTTTCAAATGAACAAAGATAAGGGAGTAACAGAAAAAAAAAAAAGCAGATAGGACATTGCTAAAGTGGACTGGTGGAGAGGTGCAGAAGACCCAGAGCCAGATAGTGAAGGCAGAAGTTACTTTCAGATAACAGAGAATGACTTTGGTATCTAGGGACCTAGTAAAGTTGGGGTGGGATCTGTGGTGGAGGGGAGCTGAGAAGGACTTTTATCTTGTTCTCATGACTGGACTTTCATCACAGAAGATAATCCATTATACTTTAAACTTGTTGAACTTTCGGGGGTGTGACACCATCCTAAGGAAAGTCAATGGCTGTTAAAGGAGTCCAAATAAAAGACAAGGGTGTGGTGGGAGTTAGAGACAGTGTATAAGGTATGTAAAGGAATGCCTGGATGGGGTAAGGAAAAAGCCAGAGACAAGTCAGATCTAGAACCCAGATAATGGGTGAATTTGGGGGAAAGCAAATCAACGATTTATACTGTCAAAATAAGTCAAACTGGAGAGGTGACAGATGGTGTGGTGAAGGAATTGAGGAGCATGCTGAAAGTCTGGAAAGCCTGCTTATTAGGAGTGGAGTACAAGGCAGATCGGAATGAGTGGAGAAAAATGGTTTTCTCATCACTGTGGCAAAATGTGTGACAGAAACAACTTTTAAAGCAAAACCCTTGTTTTTGTTGTTTCAGCAGGTTCAGTGTGTGGTCCCTTGGCTTCGTGAACTTGAGTAGAACAACATGTGTAGACAAGTGGCAACGCTGTCCACCTCCAGAAAGACAGGAAGCAGAGAGAAAGAAAGGGCCAGGAACAAGACGCCTCTAAGACCCTGCCTCCAATGACATCTCCTCCAGGTAGGCTATCTTGTTCTAAAGTTCTCAGAGCTTCACCAAAATAGCACTACAAGATGGGGACCTAGGCCTTAACACACAAGCCGGTGAGGGACGTTTCTTATACAGACCATAAAAATTAAGGAAGAAAGAGGAGATGTTCCCCATGAATTCCTTAAACCACAAACTTAGTTAAGCTAACTAGCAGAAACTATAATGCTAGGGTCAGTGACATGGCTCAGCAGAAAGGCGCTTGCTCCTCAAGCCGGACAATCTGAGTTCCATCTCAAGAGTTCATATAAAAGTGGCGGAGAACATACTGTACAAAGTTGTCCTCTCGCCTCTGCCTGAGAGCCATGGCACATGGGATACACACACACACACACACACCATATATATATATACAAAAATAATAAAAATGAAGACTTTTTTTAAGAAAAAAGAAAGTATAATGCCAAGAAATTTCTTTGTTGCCAGTAACTGCTACTGAGTTAGACTTTAACCAACAGATGGATATGGGCGAGTTTCATCCCATTTCCAGACAACAGCCTTGATGTGAGTTAGATACATGTTATTTGGAACCCCGGCTGCTTTATCACTGGAGATACTGAGAGAATTACTTACCTAAAAATATTTTATTTTAAAGAAGAGATAATAATCTATCTTATCCTGCTTATAGTTTGAGAGTTTATGATGATAATTTTAAAATATAATGTTGGTAACATATCTAGCCCATAATTTGAGGTACAGTTTCATGAGTACCTATCAGTGCTGCATTTATTAGTACCGTATTATCAATTGAGACAGTTTTCACCTCAAATGCTCTACCAAAGCAATAAAGACTCATGGCATAGTCTCCCAGCTTGGGGATTTTCCATAAGAAACCATGTGCCAATGTTAGCTTTCGCTGTGAAATCTGCTTCTTTTTACACTGCTTACGATTTCAAAACCAATTTGAGTCCACAGATCTAACTTCTATCCAAAGGCTTCTTAAGAACGGATCCTGAATGTACCATTTGCAGAACAGAAAAGATAAAATAGCAGTTGCCTTTCAAGATAAAAATACCATTTTCCACATTGAAAAAAAAACACACAAGAACAAATAACTCATATAAAGATATTTTAGTAGCATTTTCATGCCATTTCTCCGTTTAAAAGGCCAACCTAGGATTCAGTAGTAGGCAGACCACCATAGTCCACACTCCACTGTTCACATCTGTGTTGGTCCCCCTGCCTTCCACGATGGTGTTTGTGATTTGCTTGGTCCAGTAGAAAATGACAAGTGTGGCAGGATGCCACACCCATGACTGCTTTACATAACATGGCGTTCCTCACGGTCCCAGACTCTCTTGACGAAGTAAACAACTATCTTGCAGAAGGAGGTGTAGGTGGCCTCTAGGAGTTGCAGGTAGGGAGTCCAGTGCTCTCAGTCCTGTGCCTGCAGGAGCATCCATTCTTCCAGGAACCTGAGAAAGTTTTGCAGTGGATTTTTCTCCTGTCCAAAGCCCAGGTAAGAATACAAACCAGCTGTTCCTTGCTTGCAGCTTTCTGACACCTGAGCAAAGGAGTCCGCTAGAATATACCCAGACCCCTGCCCACAGAAACTGAAACAAAAGTGTGTTGCTTACGCCACTAAGTTTTTGGATGCTCTGGTACACAGCTGCAGCTAACTAAAACAGATTCTGTATAGTCGCCTCAGCCTGGAAAGGTGGGGGGGCATTTTCTAACATCCAGAGGAGCCATGAACTAAATCAGCAATGACAGATGATACAGGGAAGCAGATAAAGTACTGCTGTACCTGGTTTGGCAGGCACGCGGCCATATGCATTAGAAGGCAGCTGTTTCTGGCACCTGTGGAGACATACGGCACAGGCAGTGACACAGGAAACTAGACCTATTCCTGAAACTAACTCATAAACCAAACCAAAATCTAAACTGAGAACAGGGGCAATGCCCATGGAAGACATCGACTCCTCCGACATAGCTGCTTGTGCAAGACAACATCTCTTCTCCCAACCTCTAGAATCTGCATTTGCCTCACTTCGCTTTCAGACTACGCTTCAGGGAAAGGGTTCTTTACTTCTGTCTCCAGAGGTGGTGTAAGACATAGGCCTGGCTAATCAGAGCATCACACTTCCATGATTTTAGATATCATTAATATGCACCACATAATTCAAATCCAATCAAGCCAATCAGACCAGGTGGTACAGATTCCAAAATTAATATTTTTAATTTCCAAAAAGTGGGGATATTTTCTCTACCAAATTGTAACTATATATATATATATATACATATATATGTGTATATATACATATATAAATAGATGAGTGCTAAATACTCATATAGATATCTCTATATATATAGAGAGAGAGATATCTATATGAGTATTTAGCACTCATCTCATTATCATGCATCTTGAGAATGGAGACAACCCAGAGGGAAAGATAGACAAGGACTTTGAGATAGAAGAAAAGAGACTATATCCCAAAGAAGAATTGAACTTCTGGATAAATGTCTCATAAAACTAACTTGCACCAAGATTGATCAGTTATTTGCGCTCACTCCCTTGTTGTTGTTTACAAGAAACTGAGAAGCTCCTCGTGTGTTTTGTGGTCAGGTCAGGTGGGAAATAGTGCCGTTCCTGAGGCAAAAGCCATAGTGCCTTTTATGGTTGAGTCTGACTTTGCAAAGAAAAGCAGAAGGATGGAAATGCTGGCTCACACACAAACTGTTTCAGCCAGAATCAGATGAGAGTCGGTTCTCGTTACGGGCTTACATAGCAGAGGACAGCTCGCCATCTTTCTGAACGTAGGTTTAATCACGGCTCCTTCCTGCAGGATGGAATCAGAGCAGAGACGAGGGAGTCCCAGGACAGGCGTGATGGTCTCGCCCAGCTTTTGAAGCATGCTGCGATCCAGAGAAGATGAACACAACACCGCAGGTCTCCGCTTCAGAATGATTTCTTTTCGGCCAATGAAATCGTTTCGAAATGGTATAAAAGTTCTTGCCATGTTTGAATGAAAATGTCTCCTGTAATAATCTCACACCCAACATCCCCAAGCAATAATTTAGAAGACAATTAGGAAATATCAAAGATGGTAGAAATATCTGAGCAACAACTGGGCAGGTACAGTTATGAACACACCCGAGTGCTTGGGTAAGGCACACATAGGATCAGCCTATCAAGCATGTTCGCCCCAACCCATGCTAAGCCTATTTGCTTTCTTTATTATTCAGAATATTATTCTTTTCTCAGGTATCCACAGAACACCTTTTCTTCATTGCTTAAATCTCTACCTAGATACTCCCTAAAAGGTCATTCTATGTAAAAATATAAGACAACCCTACACAAAAGAGCACTTACCCACACTTTGTATCTCTTATCCTCCCTGGTTTTCTGTACAGCATGTATTACCAAGCACACTATGTCTAGTTAGCTAGGGGTGTTTAGATATGAATAAAACCTAGCTCTTTATTGCACCCATCTCTGCAAAGTCTCAGTCAACCTGAAGGTTCTAGCGTTCGCACAGCTAATATGGACTATTTTTACCTCAAGATGACACTTTCACTGTCTTGATGGCCAAGTTTTGTTCAGGGAAGAAGGAACTATTTCAACAAATGGAACTTAACAGGGAGAAGTGGTTTCACAAATAGTAAAAACTGAATTCGCAGAAAGAACAACACGCGAGCGGATGACGAGTTGTAATCATAGGAAGCAATTTTCTACCCCTACCTAGACTGGAGAAACAAAGAGAAGCCATCAAAGTTACCAGAAGCCAGCAGCTCAGGAATAAGGCAAGGCCCCACACATATAAAGCAGAGATAACTGAGGGGCATCACCTGCTGCTGGCAAGACAGGAACTCAGAAGTGGGTTGCCATCATGGATGGAGGGGAAACTGGGTGCATCTGAGGCTACCAGCATGAAGTGCTAACAACAGGGTGGTTACTGGGGTACCAGGAATAGGAGCGGTGAATGAAACAGCAAGTCCTCCCTGCCCTTCCCCAACTCCATCTCCCAATGCCCCTTTAATGTTCTTAGCACAAGATAGGAGGATATTCCTTCAAAATGAATCACAACTTTTGGAATTCTAATCCCAAACATTCAAAGCAGAAAAATGGATGTGGGCAGAGACAGCAATCTAAGAACCAATGCCAATCTTACTGCCTATCTCCAATTTTACTTTCTTAGGAGAAGAAAAAACAAACTACAAATTAACTAGCACAATGGATGACTTGCCTATGTCGGCCCTGTCCCCATTACTGTAACAAGTAATCAATGATCAAGTTGGAAAGAGAAGGTTTATCTCGGAGGTTTCAGGACAGTCAGTTGGCTGCAATGAGGAAGCTTACAGTGGCAGAGAGGACTTAGTGAAGCAAACCAGCTCACTTCAAGGGCAAATGCAAAACCATAAAGGGGCTGAGGTTCCACTATCCTTCAAGGCACATCACCAATGACCTAGGACAGCCTACCTCTTTAAAGATCACACCACCATATGGGAATCAAGATAGGGAACTTGACACACAGAACTTCAGAGGACATCCTAGATCTAAACTGTAGGAGCCCCTGAGCTATTATCAACAGTCTACTCTTTCAAATTCAGTAGATTTTAATCTTAGTACCATGGATGAATTTCAGGAGGTCTATATACCCAGGACATTCCACACACATTTTAAATAGTGTATTCTGCCTTGAATTTTTGCAGATAAATAAGGTCATAACTTACTTTTTATTTTATTTTTAAGATTATAATACATTTCTCCCTTCCCTCTCCTCCCTTTAAACCCTCCCATATACCCCTTCCCACTTTCCTTCAAATTCATGGCCTCTCTTTTCACTAACTGCTATTGCATATCTATATGTGTGTTATATTCATATAGATCCCTAAGTATAATCTGGTCAGGCCATATAATGTTATGTGTACATATGTTTTCAGGGCTGACCATTTGGCACTGAACAACCAATGGTGTACTTATCCTTGGAGAAGACCACCTCTCCGGCTCCCAGCTTTCCTCAGTTGTCTATAGTTCTGTGTGTCAAATTGGGGCTCTGTGGGCCGTCCATGATGTCCTTGTTTAGTTCACATGTGGACAGTCATACGAGAGAGACCATCTTACACTTCAAAGGATCCTGTGCATCCCCTAAATTAAATATCACTGATTCACTATTTAAACAGGCCGTGGGAAACTACACAACTTCTAAAAGTCAGATTCTTTAAGTGACTAAAGAACTCTATTGATTACAACTCTCTTGGCTACCGAGGAACAGGAACCAATTTGAACCACCCAAAGAAAAAGCAAGAGACACTGGCAACTTATTCAAAAAACATCAACCAGGGAAGAGACGTCTAGTTTAAGAAAGACTTGGACTAGGATTGTGTCTCCGTAAAAATGAACTCCAATGCCCACGTTCACAGAGATATTCATGTTAGCGAAGTGTTAGCAGTCCCAGCAAGACATGAAGAATAGCTTAATGAACGGTTAGCTAACACTACAAGATTGGGTGACATCAACCAATCTGCATACATCCTTATGACTCCAAGCATACAGTGAATGGGAGGAGAAGGCAAGTTACAGGGTATGTCCAATACGATATCATGTATAAGCTTTGGAAACACGAAGAGTATGTGTTTCTGGCTGTGGTGACATATGTAATTCTAGCATTAAAAAGACAAAGACAGGATCCCTGGGGTTCTTTAGGCAGCCAGTCCAACCTTTTTGGCAAGCTCCAGGCCCGTGAGAAAGCATGTCTCAGGGGAGGTGGGTGGTATTCTTGAGGATGACAGCGGAGGTTGCCTCTGTTCTCCATGTACATGCAGTCACACAAGCATCCCATATAGAACTCACAGATACATATGCTGGTCAGCAGAAGAATAAAAACACAGTTAGAATCATAATCCCCAAATATAGATATGTTCCACCCTTAGTGAGTAGAGAAAAGTAAAAAGCAAAGAGGTTCTCTCAGGGGACTTTATTTCCATCTGGCCTAGATGGCTGCTTTATAATAAATCTGAATTAAATATAGCAAAATGCTAAAGCATGGCCAAGTTATGTGACAGATTTGTGATAGTCCTCTGTATTTTCCTATGCTTTTGAAATGTTTCACAAGCGGATTTAAAGGCTAAGAAATATAAAGGACGCTCAGAACTCCATTAGTAGGGACCCGATTTCCCCTCAGCATCATCACCAGGAACCCCAGAGAGAAGCACAGCTTAAATCACAGTGCAGACACGCTTCCCATCGTAAGACTCTTCTGTCAAAACAAGAGCCCCAGGTGTGGACCTGAAGGGGTCTCAGTGGGGGAAGGAGGGGATTGTGACAGAGGAGACACTGGCAGAGAGGATGGGAACTGTGCATGCATAGCCATGGTGTAAACACACCAAGCAGTGTCTCCCTCTGCATGAAGACATTTCAGGAAGCTGGTGGCTCCTGGTTCCAGTACCTCCTTCTTTAAGCAGGCTAACTGAAAATAAGGGCACCCCTGGATACATTACAAGGGCAGGGAAAATTTCGGTACAGTTTTCACTAATTGATTCCACGAGTAAAGAGGAATTTGTGATCCCTTCAGAACTAATAAAATAGAGTTGAAACTTATTTGGGTTGTAACTTGCCTTAAATTCTTCTAATCCATTCCTAATAACCGTGACCATGGAAAAATAGCAGACACGAACTTTATTATACTGATTAGACCTACCCTTCTATTTTCCCAGCATCCTATCATGGCAACACACAGAAAACAGGATGGGAAACACAGGGTCCAGACTTTGATCTTGGCCATAAGTTAGACCTTCAAAATTTCTTATATTTTTGGCTGTGAGCCTAGTCTTTAACAACTGAGCCATCTCTCCAGTCCCAAATTTCTGTCCATTTAAAAACTTGTTATGTCCCTGACATTCCGTCAAAGAATGGCATGGAATTCCAGAAACGTGTTAACAGAAGCAGCAGCAATGTCCTTGCCTTCAGGTGCCAAGATCTGAAAAGCACAGGCCAGCTCCTCAAACATCACTAATGGTTAGCTCTTCTAAAATGTGCAGAACAGAATATCAAGGAAATTTGAGTTCTGAAGCTTCCAGAAGATAGATTCTCAGAGTGTGGCAGAGTAATAAACTTTTTCCCTAGCTGGTTCTGGATAACAAAGAAACTTTGCTGGCAGACACTGTGAAACCAAGGTGAACAAATGAAGGCAAATTTAATGTGGGGCAGGCTCGCTTTCAGGATCGCACTTGCTCAATGGCAATGCAAGGGTTCAGCTTTGCAACGAAAGGGAGAAAAGGGAGAATGAGGCAGCTCTCACGTAGGCACACATCCTACAGGAAATGCAAAGCCTGACTGAAGTTGAACTGGCTGCATTGTAAGATCTGACACCATTTATTCCTAACTGCTGCCATCCGTCCCAAGGCCTTTCATCCATGACGTTGACACCATCCACAAACTAAGAACGCGGTGGAATTTTTTTCCCTTCCACTTTACCTTACCCTAGTACAGAAACCTGGCTAGAAAGTCCAGTTATGCTACCATGCTCTCAAAACCTGCCGTTCTATCTTTTAAATACATTCCATCTCGCCAAAGATTGTTTCTAAAGTTCTATATGGCAATGGACTTGAAGCCCATTAATTCCATTAGCAGGCTATTTCAGGAAATAGAAAGCATACTTCTTGGAAACAAATATATGTAGTTTTAAAAAAAAAAACAGACACACACACATAACTCTCAAGTGAGAAGCCGAAAACAAAGATGTTTTTCGAACATGATGAGAGCTCCTTCCTGTGACATATCAAGGGTGTCACAGCTGCTTTTCTGATGAGAAGTCTGTGTTTGGATTTGGGTCTTTAAACCAAAAAGCCTATCTTGGGATGTCACTGTAAGTACTCTCCCCGCCTCTTAATCATCGGCAACTGCTAAACGAAGCGTGTCTATTTTCTCTGTTACATTTACTACTGGCAGCCAGGTCCTCGGTAAGTGCCCAGAAATGTTTCCATGGTTACAAAAAGCATTCAGCATCCCTCTTGTTTTGGGCCAATTTAGCTTAAAATCTATTGTGCAGAAAAATATGGCACATTAAGGAACATAAAATCAAGATACGACATTATGAAAAGAACTCAAGATTAAACGGGAAAAGCAAGCTTGATAAGGCTTTTCAAAAAGTGCACATAAATCTTAGATTAGGGTGCTTATTTTTCTCGCCTCCCTCCAGATAGCTCTCTTCAGCAGAATGGCTTACACTACCCCTGGGCAATAAGGGGGGGAAATCGGTATAGGAAGATTCTTTAATATATTAACTCAGAGCTGAAATATATATACCTTTTAAACCTACAGGTATCTTAACATCTGTACAGCTGAAAGTCCGGCCATGCATCCTAGTGTCGCTCGATGTTTATTCTGAGAAAAGACAAATAAGAGCATTTGCTCAATAGCTAAAAGGCAATTGGAGCAAATGCAGAGGTCGTTTCACCTCAGGGAAAGGGAGAAAAGTGGAGGTTCCCCAGAGGAAACTTAGCAATGCTCCTCCATCTACAGCCATGAGTGAGC